ATGCATGTGCAAGTAAGTACATGCACACATACACATATATGTGTGTACGTGTATTTATATAAATGTAAATATATGTACATATGTTTATTTTTATATTTATATTTAGTTATAGGTATATATATATATTTATATATAATATACGAGGCGGCACTATTAAGTCTTTGAAACGGTTTCATTTAATATCGAAACAGGAGAATGTGTTTGTAGGATTCAAACTTCTCTTGCAAGGCAGAGCGCTGCTCGTGGAGTAAAATCCAACCGGCCATGAGGCAACCATTGCTTCAGATTGGGCGCTATGTACTTGAAATGGTATGTGGACAGTTGGGCATTGGCCTAGAGGCTTAGACAGAGAAGCCCTTGATACGGAAACTCTTATGCAAGGCTGTGTCTGCTGCGTTATACCCACGGGTATTCATGTCTTTTGTGCAAATGGTCACAATCGTCATTAATTCCCCTCGTTTATCGTTCACCTACACGCCAACGCCCAAATCACCATCTCCCAGTCTTGTCAGTCGATCTAGAAGAAAGGCTCACTCATCTTCATCCACATTGATCGAGAGCCTGTTTCCCCCATTCTTTTATCACACTGGCCTGTCTCCCCCGTTTGGCACACCTCGGATGGATATGACCTGTTTGACAGACTCCCGTCCGATCCTCCGTCCGTGTCTGCAGCTTGGCTCGACATTCGGTTGAGCGAAAGAGAGAGCATGCGAGCCAGCGAGCGAGAGAGCAACAGCGCCGGCACACTCCGGTACCAGGGGGCATGCAAACACACAAAGTGGTAAACTGGCAAGCATGACATCGGTCATTGCAGCTCGTGCTATTGGCTCTAAACGCCGGTTGGGATGTAGCCACATCGTCGTCCTCTGCCCACGGTCATCGGTCAGACGCGACGGCCGGACGTGTGCAGACCGAAAGACTGTGCCGTCGGCCCAACACCGTCCATTCTCTCCCACTTGCACCCACGAATGGTATTGGTGGCAGATGCGCACGTGTCAGCTTGCCCCGACGTTCAGCGATAGACGGACATGTGAAAGAGACTGCTTGTCCCTCGGTAGCACTATGACCAGGAAAGCCCTATAAGTCTCGCGTGTCGGATGCTCTTGGGCCATATCAAGCGAGGACGCTGAGTACGTGTGACACGTGTGATAATCCCTGTGTGCATAGACGACCGAGCGAAAGTGGAAAAGGGAAAGAGAAAAAGAGTGGGACTCACTGAAAGAGAGTTCAAGGGTGTGCAGGATCCACACGAAAGGAGAATCCTTTCGCCGAGGTTACTATGATTCCGTAGAGCTCGACGAATTCGGCATATAGTCAAGTGTTCCGTTGGATTGGTTTCGGGGGCAAGTCCCTTGGGATACTCACCGGAGTTTCTTCAAGGGCTACCGGAGGCCAGACAAGACAATACAAGACAACTTCAACACACGCACACATTCATTCACACAGTCAAGGACACTCGTGTGCGGATCTACGGGTAAGCTTTTCGGTTGTATTTCCCTTCAACGGCTTGCCCAACTGTGTCAGTGTCGACATTATCACCTTCGTTGTGTCAGAAGGCTCAATCCTCGTGGTACATATTTCGTGCCCTACGACCGACATTTGGAGTGGACCATTTCGTGGTGCATCGTCTCGGACCTACGAGGGCTGGAGTTCCAGTTTGGGGCCTGGAGTCCACCAGCATCAAGTCGGGTCAGACGACACGTCGCGAAGAGGCCGAATCTCCATCTCATCATTCGGGACCTTCATTCAATTTGTGCTGTTGACAATTATTAATCAGTCGAAAACACCCTTCTCTCCTTCTCGTCATATCTCCCACTTCTGCCTTGACCATTTACTTCTGACTCTCATCGCTTCAAGTATTTGACTTGAGTCGACTTTCGCCATTTCACTCTACTCAACACCAAATCACTTCAGCATAGAAGGTCTGTATAGACTACAGCTTGTGCTCGTCTCTTGACGTGATCACCGGTCATTACGGCACTCTTCCCACTTTTCAACTGTTTCTACTTTTCCTCGTACGATTTTGGCATGTTCTTGAACAATTGGTGGATTTTCGTTTCGCACTTTTCGTCTTCCACCCAGTAGTTTGGCGGCAGTCAAGTCGTCCTGGCAACCTGATAACGGATGAGAAGCAACCCTCTGTTTGCTAGCCAACCATCCGACATGTCGGACAAAGACAGCTCAACGGGGTCCTCAGACTTCTCTGACAATTTTCCCTCGACCACAACCATCAGCACAGTCAGTGTTCAGGCGGGAAAAGCGCGCATCATTCTTGCAGTATTAAGAGTAAGTCAGTTAACCTTACTATTATCCTCTACCCACAGTCCTCATTGAATCCATAAGACTCACTTTCGCTTCAGCAGTTTGCTTATGAACCTGTACGGTCTCTCTCATCGGTCGGATGATTCCCAACAGCCCCCATCCTCATTCAAAAAAGGATATTTCAGTCAATTCTGAATGAGAAATTTGGCAAATCAAACCTTTCCCACCAATTATAGCCACTAATTTAAACAACATAGACTTAATTTCCACTGCCTCATAGCAAATGAGTAGACCTACAAAATATTAATATATATATATTTAAAGCAATTCAAATCAAATTAAATCGCTCAATGTAGTATAAGTTTGATTCGTTGAATTTTCTGTAAGGAAATGATTGGAAAGAGTCGAAAAGTCGTAAAAGTTCCCCTGGCCCTACACTACAAAAGCTTTTATCATCCTGGCTGGAGGACAGTGTTAACCTCATCTGAGTCTCATCTACTCCCCAAACTGGATTCGAGACCGGATCGTGGATTCATTACCACTACACCCCACAGCTACAGGCTCCAGCAGGCTGCAAAATAGCGCTTACCTATTTTCGTTTCGTTGAATAATAACTGGGTTTACACTATTTCCTTCAACTCCCAGTCCGTCATGACCTTAAACTAACTAGGGT